CGCCGCGTCGACGGCGCCGCGCGAACAAAAGACCCGAACGAAGCCGCCGTTTGGCAGCCTCGCCCCCACTCCCCTCCCGGAGCTCAGCCTTCTTCCCTTTCGCCGGGCCGCTCTTCCCACCAGTGCTGCCGACCGCATTTCTGGGGACGTCGATAAGGCGAGGGAGCGATTTGTTATGAAATATCTTTGTGTTCCTATCTTGGGAAAAAAAAATGAAATGTGTTCATTCGCACTGACGTTGCTTTAAAAAAAAAAGTGAGCTTTTTTTCACCTTACTTCAACAGAGCTCTTTGGCATCAAGATGCCACAAGCTAAAAAAAATGAAATGTGTTCATTCGCACTGACGTTGCTTTAAAAAAAAAAAAGTGAGCTTTTTTTCACCTTACTTGAACAGAGCTCTTTGGCATCAAGATGCCACAAGCAGTTGGCAGAACACTACTGTCGTCTAAATCACAGGTGTCAAAGTCAAGGCCCGGGGGCCAGTTCTGGCCCGCCACATCATTTGATGTGGCCCGCGAAAGCAAATCAAGCATTTCAAGTTTCATGATGCTTGCTAAAGTCTGAACCAAAATTTCAAATTGTCATATGTAATCCACAATAAGTCATTATTCTTGATTTCTGATTTTAAAACGAGTTAATCATCAATTTGTTGTGCGTTGTGTTTGTACAAATTCATTTTTTTAGGGAAGACTCGTCATTTCTTCTGCATTTTTTTTCCTCCCCCCGGATAGTCTTCCAAGAATAGGTTGATCCAAATAATACCGTTTTGCTCAAAGCGGAACCAGCAAAGACATGTCGACAACCCAATCTTAATTCACGCTCGTACCATCACACCTTTTTGTTCTCGAAAATAGCGACGCCACTTCTTCCTGTCGCGACGCATCCTTTGTGCGCAAACAAACGTCGCCGTTTTTGATGTCAAATTGATGTGACGATAAATTCCAATCAGTTGGCGCAAAGCTAACATGGGGGGTGGGCGGCATTGATTTTTGACAGGCATGTCGGCTCCCATATCATATTTATTTCTTTATTAACGGTGATTTATTTTTTGTGTGTGTGTGTGTGTGAGTGCCAAGATGCCGTTCACGGTTCCCCGGCCGGCTTTGACAGCCACCATTGTCAATAAGCCGCCCCCAGTTGTGAAAACTGCGTGGGGCTGCCTTTTTTTTCTCCCCCCACCCCTCCTCTTCGCTTTGAGAAAACACTTTTTTATACGCGGCTCATTTAGTCCGTTAGCATCATGCTACTCAGCCCTCGCTCCTTCTTTCTCTTCCTTTCTCAGCAGTCCACCAAAGCCTTCTCGACTTGTTCTATTCCGTGTCGACTTCTTGTTTGTCTTCCTCAGCAGCACTTGAGTAGGGGGGCGGGTCCTCAAGCCGCTGCTTAGCAACACCCAATCAGCTTGACATTTGAAAGGCCTGACAGCCAATCGGAAGGGTGACTGGATTCTTCCTTTTTGTTCATTGGCGGTCGAGAGAGGAACTAACTGTTTTTTCTTAGCACGTCTGATAATGCCAGGAGCGTTTTTTTTTTTTTTTTTTTTTTTTTTGTGATCATCTTTGATGGCTTGTGACCATGTTTGTGTTTTTGGCGTTCATTGGTGAGCCTCGCTCGGCTTAATTTGATGGCGCGAAAGTGAGTCCGATATGTCTGCGCCTTGGTCAGATGCTAAAAAAAAAAATCAACAACGAGACCACCCGCCCCAAGCCCCTTTTGATGTCTTCCTCAGCCCGCGACTGTGATATGTGAATGAGTCTGTAGCGCGGCAAAGGGTAGTTGCAGGCCCTCCAAACCAGAGGAAACATCCTCCCATCGATTGGGTTTAATCCTCGTTTTAGTCGTCTGCGGGCCGACGCCTCCTCCGGCACGCGGGTGTTCCTTGATGCTTGAGGGCTGTTCAATAAATGCCATCGATCGCAGATTAGTTGTGATTAGTAGCGGCTGCTTGGCGCTAGCGATGCCGGCGCCATCTTTTTACCAGGCCCACCAATTTGCTTACGTTTCCCTGTCGGAAGAAACGGGGGAGAAAATGAAATGTTCAGCTAATTTTTGAAAGCCGATTTCAGAATTCTCATTCGCGCATGTAAGTGTAAAAAGTTAGCTCGAGTTGACAGTTTGAAAGAAATCAGCAGTGATGTGATTGTTTGTATACATTTCAGACTGTAGGGGGCGCCGGTTAACTCCTCCAACCGGGGGTGTGTGTGGGGGTGGGGGGTTCATCACACGCGACTTTTGATCTATCTAACATTAGAGGTTGAGGTTTTAGCATTAAATGTCACTGCCATGCAACTTTTTTTTTGGGGGGGGCGGGGTTGGAGGTCTTCTCATGATAGACCCACGCTAGCAGTTAAGAAGGCTGACCCCCAACCCGGGATGCCGCCCGGTTAACGCCAACTCTCCCCTCCCGCAGCAGCGCCCCGTCCACTCGACAGTCCGCCCCCTGCAGCCTGGCACTTGATTGACAGCCGGTGCGGCACACAGGGCGGGGCCGACATTACGTGAAACGTCTGCCGTCTTTTCTGTCACCAACGCCCTGTGGAAAAAATGGCGATGTGCGCCCTCGCCGCTTCCCATCCGTGCCGCCGTCGTCGCCCCCGAGCTGCCGCAAAGAGTCCCGCCCACCAACAGGGCGCCGTTCGCCGTAAAAAAACGCACCAAAATGCTCCCCTGAGCGTCTGAACAAGTAGAAATGACACCGGCGGAGTAAAAAGAGCCAAAAACTAAAGTCTTTGTTCTTTCTTCACTTTCGCAATTGGCTGTGGATGTCGTTCAAAGTGTGAGGAACTGCCACGTCGGGGTTTCAAGCCAACGTTTGGGGGGTTCTGCAAAGTTTGCCCGTTCAAATTTGAGCTTGAAGTCAGGTTTTGGGGGGGGTGATGTTTGCCTTTCAGGCCAGGTTTAAGGTTTACAATTCGTGATGGAAGTCGGAGGGCGGTTAGATTCCGAAGAACCTCGCACGCGTTCAGTGTGGGCTGACCTTGGACTTCGAAAAGTGTGAGCGTCAAAATGATGTTTTGGTTGATGGTTGCATTTTTTGCGCAGGTCTTTGGTGATCATCAGCACCCTGGACGGCCGCATCTCAGCGTTGGATCCGCACAATCAAGGGCGCAAGCAGTGGGACATGGACGTCGGCTCTGGGTGCCTGGTTTCCTCCAGTCTCAGCAAACCTAGGTCCCCCCCCCCCCCCCCACTCCCACCCTCGCCCCCAAAGTTATACCCAAAAGTAGCATCTGGCATTCCATCAACAAAAGAATTCCGCCAAACGTTTTTGTAGCAAAGTATATTTCTAACATGGTGTTGTTCTATTGTCTTTCTGCGTGTGTTGCTCCAACATTTGTGTTCCAATTGCCACTGTTGAAAGGCTGCTAAAAAGTGCGACATTGATGCGAGTTCCGTTCGCTTGTCAATGGTGTTTTACATTGTTTGTTAGCATTAAGATGTGATTCTTTAATTTTCGTTCGAATCTGACAGGAAGCGGCGTGAGGCCTGCCCCCCCCCCCTTTGTAAGCCAGTAGTGTTGCCGCTCGCATCTCAAACGTCTGCTCTGAAGTGGAGGCACAAAATTGTCGGGGCGCCGGCACGCTGGTGTCAGAATGCACCACAGCGAGCTTTGATGTGACGCAGACGCGGCGGCACGAACGGAACGCCGTGCAGGCGCGCCAGATGCGTGACGGCACGATTGTAGAAGAGGGGAAAAAAAAAAAAAAAAACGACCGAAAAATGCCTCCGTCTTCCATTCGGAGGTCAAGGATACATTTTTCCTCTTAACGAGATCTCCCGGGGCGCCCCCCCCCACCCACACCCGAGGAGCGCTTTTTGCCTGGAGGATTATCCGCTTTTGTTGAGCCGCTAAGGTTTACACGCGCGCAAACGCAGTCGGAGCCCGTGTTGGAACAACGCGCGCGCGGTGGCTTCAACCGCCCACATGGGAGCGGCATCGCGGCGACCGCTCCAGACGCCGCTCTCCTCTCGTGTGAACCTGAGCGTCGTTAAAACAGGGATGGGATCTCAAGCGGCGTGTTTCCGCTGAGCGGTGGAAGGACACGTCCTGCCGCAACCCGTGTTTGTGGACAAGATGGCTCATCAAACACTCAACGCCGCTTAATCCGGGATTGAAACCTCTGACACCAAAGTCACAGTTTATGGCCTGGCTTCGGCTCGGAAATTAGGGTTTTAAATTTAAAAAGTGGGCTTAGTTGTTCAAGCCAAGGTTAGGGTTTCAAATGACGGTTTTCGCTGAGATTTCGAGCCCGAGTTTGTGATTAAAGTTTAGGTTGCGAGAAAAGATTCGGGGTTTGGATATCAGGTTTCAAGAAAAGGTTTTCAAGCCATGGGTAGAGTTTCAAACAAGGTTAGGTGTGCAGTTGTGTGTGTGTGTGTTTTTTTTTAACTTTGAAGAACCTTTGATTTTGTCTTACACAATTGTCCTTTGGCTGTCCACCAATCGGCATTCGGCACGCTGTCTAGCCCCGCCCCCTTTACCTCCCCAACCACTGCAGTGAGCAAAAGGCAGCCTGCCCGCCATTGTTTGGATCGGGTACTTTGTTCCAACTTCACACTTGACTGGGGAAAAAAAAAAAAAAAGCCCTGAAATATGTGCACAGGTCTCTTCAAGTCTGCCATTCTAAATTTAGACATAAAGCTCCCACTTCAGACACACTGGGTTTTTTGGGGGATTTTTTTTTTTTTTTTTTTTGGTCTCTCTCCTCAGAGGTTCCAAAGTGTCAAACCCCCTGAAGGAAGCTTGCAGCGCAGACTCGCATTTCCATCTCCACAACAATGTCATCTTGAATGGGAACTTTTGCCGGCAGTATCACATCGTCTTCGTGTTGTTTGGCACCACGACGATGGCAGTACGCTGATAGACATCAATATTCCACCATTTTTTATTTGTATTTAGGACTGGGCCGTTATCCATCCATCCATCCATCCGTTGTGTGAGCCGCTTCTCCTCACGAGTGTTAATGAAAATGTTTCCGAGGCTGAGAAATCCCAAAACGGAAGTCTTGAAAATGTACTTCGCATCATATGAACTTACTTTGTGTGTCACAATCGTGGGAAAAGATATGAGTGAGTACTGAACGGCTTGCAAAAAAAGCCAGCGTGGTTCAAGAGCACCCCCCCCCTCCAAAAAAAAAAAAAAAAAAAACGTTCTAGTTTTGAAATTCTCATTCGGACAGAAATTATAAACAAAAACAAAATAAAGACATGAGAGGCCCTGCTGCGCCCCCCCTCCCCTCCCCCGCAATGCACCGATCTGTGCCTTTTTTTTTTTTATTGCTCTTTTTTTAGATCGACAAACACAAAACTGCTTTGTCTGCACAAAAAGAAACGTGTGTGTGTGTGTGTGTGTGTGTGTGTGTCGAAGTGTCAG